TATAAAAGATGTAATAGTAGAGCATTTAGAAAGGCATAATATAAACTAGTGGTGTCAGTGTGGCTTCATGAAAGGGAAATCATGCCTGAAAAATTTACTAGAATTCTTTGGGAAAGAAACAAACAGGATAATTGATAGCCAGTAGATGTAATATATTTGGAATTCCAGGAGACTTTTGATAAGGTATCAAAGAAAAGGGGAATCCAGCATATCATATCACTCAGCCTGGTATGAATATTTAAGTGTATTTTAGTGTGAATGTGAGTATGTGTTCAAATGTGTATCTACATGTGTAAATATGTGTCATGTGTGTGTAACCGTATGCAATAACTTTAAACAAAGTTATGAATGATGTTGTATTGCTCAAACTAAATTTTGCTACATTAATTTGCAAAGTTATTACTGTTTGAATTTGGACAAGGATTTTATAAATGCCCCATGATATGTGTTGTGTCTGGGGTTGTGTCCGAGTGTGTTTATTTGTTTGTGTCAATATTTGTTTGTGTGTGTGTGAATGGTTGTGAGTGACTTGCCTCTACAAGCATGTGTGTAGGTGTTCTGCGGAAAGTGGGGTGTTCCACAGCAAGTTTACAACGTATGATTTAAATGTTAAAGTTGTGGTAACAGATGAACATTGTGTGTAACTTTCCTTGCTGTTAGCTAAGGGCTAGTGGAAAATGTGTAGGAGGCAGACTGTAAACAGAAAGCATGGCTTCTTTTGAATGGATGTGATGTACACCTCAGTAATTGTCCTGTGCCTGTAATTTGACAGATGTGCTGCTGAGATCTCAAACTGACAAATGGCTTATGCACAATAAGGGGCCCATTTTCACATCATCGCAGCGCTTATAAATCATCGCGTCCTTTTGTAAACTATTACACATTATTGTGGTTTTCACTTTGATGCATGTACTGTGTTGAAATGTTTACTTCTCAAAACTTTTTACTAGTTTATCATTTTTGATCAGATAGAAGTGCTCAAGAACCTTAACAGGAGTAAGGTTTTAATGGCACTACAAGTGCAACTTGGGCTAAGAACACACAGACACGTAACAACAATAATATTTTATGTTTAACCAGCAACTTTAATATAAGGAAACAGTTCAAAGTGCTTCACAGGAGGATTATAAAGCTAAATTATACGCCAAACCATGATAGTGATAATGTGAGAACTATTGTCCTTAAGCTTTCTCAAAGAGGGTCTTAAAGAAAGAGAGGTAGAGAGGAGGAGAGGTTAATAGTGAGAATTCCAGAGCTTAGGGACCAGGCAGATGATGACATGGCTGTCAATTGTAGAACAATTAAAATTACGGATGCTCAAGAGGCCAGAATTAGATGAGTGCAGAGATCTCTGAGGATTGTGAGAGTGGAGGAGGTTAAAGAGGTAGAGAATAGTAAGGCAATGGAGGGATTTGAAAACAAGGATGACAGTTTTAACATCAAGGTGTTGCTTGATCACACGCCAATGGTGATCAGACTCCATAGGGTGAGAGGGAACATGAGTAAGGGTCTCAGGTGGCAGAGATTTGACTTAGTTAATGGAGGATAAAATATGAGAGACTACCCAGGAATCAACTGCAATAGTCAAATTTACAGATAACAAAGGTATGGATCAGGGTTTAATACATTTACTGCTATTTACACCTGTGCTCCCACCATAGAGCTTTATGAGATAAGACTATGTTTTGGGAATATGGATGCAGCTATTAACTATAGGGCTATATTCACTGTTCACAGGTTCCTGTCCCAAAACATTTAGTAATGGGAGCCTAAATTCAGGAAAATAACCTTCATATACCAGAAGAAAGGCAAGGGCAGTGAGTGCATGGGAACCCTTTGCTATTAACACAAAGATTGGTGGTACAGTAAGTAATATAGTTAGGGGCATAAAATTACCTGACATTGATAGATAAAGAGAATGGCCTTTGTCATCCACAGCTGGTCACAACTCCAAAAACAAATCAGCTGAATCTCGTTGTTATTATGGAAATAGTTGGGTTTCTGGTTTTTGAGTGGCTAAACTGTGGGTTTTCTGTGCATCTAAAGAACTTGCAAGTATTTCTGCAGCCATAGTAATTAATTTTAAAACAGATTTAGAGGCCTGACTTTAGAGTGAATAGGTTTGTGTGCATTGCTAATGGATTTTTTTTTTTGTTTATCTTCAATTATCTTCTGACCTGCCAAGGTAAATAACAGGGCTTCAATGTTTATTACAGACTTCTGGAACTTGTTTTATTTTAAGCTTAAGGGAAATACCCATAGCTTAGAGAGGGAGCCATTTCATTATAGTTTCACTTTAAGTTCTGAGTAGTATTGTTCAGTACTTGAATTAGAATGGCTGTATAGACCAGCACTCCTGAGAAGGGAAGGATATATATTGAACTGGTGTACCTTAGTGAGAAGAGTTAGTCTTAGTCCCAGATGAGAAATGTTGGGATAAAACCCTGAAGAGTTTGCTTAAACATGAGTACCTTTTAGATCAAGTGTACAATAGCTCCATGAAGAAGCTCCAATAGCTCCATAGATCTAGTCAAAAAGTTGAAATCACAAGTGACCTAAACCTACCAAGGTATAAGATATAGGGACTGTGGTGTGAGTACTGTATAAGTGGTGTTTTTGGATACTGTGCCAGGCATATGCTTTGGATAATATACAAATGACTTTATTGTTTCTTATTAATTATGAAAAAGCGTTTTGGGATTAATGGGATTATATTTCTTACTGTATGTGTGCAAATCTTTGAATTTGTATTATCAGCAATACTTTGGTTTAATCTAATCTGTCTTCATTTCTTTGGCCAATAAACTTTTGTTTTTTTGTTAAAGCAACATCTGATTAATTGTATAACTGAGCTTCAACAACATACCATTTTGTTAAATTCAAAACAAATCAAAATATTATTGATCAAGCCAGTGAACCCTGTGAACAGGGTTGTCCAGTAACAACATTTGTATGCAGCCCCTGTGCTGATCTGTCTACAAATAGACTCCCCTACTGCTTGAACAAAGCAGCAGTGTAAACGACTCATAATGAGTGTCAGTAACTTGTTTGTAACAAGTGCAGTACTTTTTCACAATCTTTGATTTTCAAACAGTCCTATTCCCATTTAATTCCACAATGATGATAATACCATTAAGTTCTATAAGACTCTGGTTAGACTGCATTTGGAATATTGTGAGCAGTTTTTGGCCCTGTATCTAAGGCAGGATGTGCTGGCCTTGCAGGGTGTCCAGACAAGATTTAACAGAATGATCCTGGAGAAGATGAGCTTGTATGAGGAGCAGTTGAGGACTCTGGGTCTGTACTTGATGGAGTTAAGAAGGAGGAGGGGATAAGTTTAAACTTGTGGAATACTGAGAGGACTAGGTAGAGTGGAAGTGGAGAAGATATTTCCACTAATAGAAAAGACAGCCTCAGAGTGAAGGGATGACCCTTTAGACTGAGATGAGGAGGAAGTTCTTCAGGCAGAAGGTGGTGAATCCATGGAACTCATTGCCACAGAAGGCTGTGGAAGTCAGGTCATTGAGTGTATTTAAGACAAAGATAGATAGGTCATTTGTAAGGGCATCAAGGGTTATGGGGGACAGCAGGAGAATGAGATTGAGAAATTTATCAGGCATGATCAAGTGGCAGAGCAGACATGATGGACTGAATGGCCTAATTCTGCTCCTATATCTTATGGTCTTATAGTCTTACTGAGAATGTGATCAGAGTTCTAGGATTTAGATTACGAGGAGCAATTCGATAAAATTTGTTATTCGCTGGAATATAGAAGGTTAAGGGCAGATTTGATTAAGATATTTAATATTTGGAAAGGAATTGAGGGAGTAGATACAAAAATACTTTTGTGCTGTTGGAGAATTGGAGAACAAAGGGGTATAAATTTAAAACTGGAGTCAGCACATTACAAGAGAGGCATAAGGAAACACATCTTCGTGCAAAGTTGGCAATTCAATTTATAATTTAAAATCCTGGGTCAATCAATTTGTTTTAGACAAGGGATTAAGGATTACAAAGGCAAGAGAGAGGTAAGCTTTAGAGCAAGATATCTCCATTCACCCACTGAAGGGGACTATGCTGAGGATGCCTATTTCGTTCTGGAATGTGCTTTAGTGAAATGCTACAGTTTCTGTCATGCTTCATTCTGATCAACCCAGCGGATCAGGGCACTGCATTCCCAGGGCCCAGCAGCTCCATGCAAAGTCTTGCATGTGTATGTGATTACCTGGTAGACCACTTCGATTGCACATAGCTGCGAAAATAGAGGACTCCATTTCAATGTTGCGAACCCCTGCGTCATAGGCCCTATTCAAGTATTTCATCTTATCCTCATGGGTATAGTTGCAACACATGGAAAAAAACACCAAATGTGCTGGAGAGCCATCAGCTTGAAGGGAGATGCTTTTTGGTCTGTCTGAAACTTACTGATCTTCCAGCGCAAAGAATTGTCCACAACTGAGTGATGCAGATTTGTGCATTCCAACAGGAAGGACTACATGCTGAGGGGTGCACTAAAGCTTGGACCAGCCAATGCATTGGCACAATGTGAAAGGTCACTCAGAAAGGCAACGTACACAAAGGGTTTTGGAAAGTGAGTAAAACCCCTCAGCCTGTATGTTTGCCTGTAATAAATGTAATAAATATTGACTGTACTTGTAATGTGTAACATATAGCATTGGAAAGAACATGCATGTTTTGGCATCTCATGTAATGGCAACTTTGAATGGGGTCATGTTCAACATCAATTTTTTTAGCTAAAGTATAATTTTGGAAGTAAAAGTCAGCAAGAAAGAGGTGAAGAGTTTGCCAGCTCATGAACAAATAAACCCAAATCAGAATGAACGCACTGACTATAATTGTACTTTTATCAGTAAAATCTGAAGCACATCTGCTCACATAACTAACCACAGAGTTACGTCACTTCTGGTTCAGTAGAATGGTTGCCAGATGGCTCACTCACATGATGCTAGAGTTGCAACAGGCACAAGGTCTGAACTGCTTTCACAGGATATCATTTACATTCCTTGAATACTTTACGACAAACATTGAGAGCGGAGCTTAATTCTTTACCTTGTCCAAGTCGTTTGTTCTATTGGGTAAATGACTACTCAGCGGAGAATGATGTGGTTTACAAGAACTCAAAAGCATTTGGTCCTAGCTGCCTTTCTTTACATTGCCGTATATTCAAAAGGTAAGAGAGGCATCAAATTGCTCTGTGGGATGGAACTACAAATTATTGAATACATTAGTAAGGAATTTTTTTCGAGAACGGTTTATGTTACAGCTGTCATTGATAATTCAATTATCCATATTTTTATTAGTCAGGGAGTTGGTATCCTGTTAACACTGATAGGGGATTATTTGCAAATAAATGTGCTTCACAATTTAAATTTATCAAGAATATATTTTATAACTGTATTCATTCCTTGATAGATTGTACTCAATATCCTTTTAATTTTATTATAGTTTTTAATGACTGTTTTATAGCAGAAAGTGATTCAACAGACTAATTCTAATTAAGGAAAGGAGTACTGAAAAACTCTTTATCAATTAAACAGAAAGCAGGTCTTCCGAAGCTTACAGTCTTACAACAGAACCCGAAACAATGTGATTCAGCCCATCAGGCCTGTGCTGGCTCTTTGGACAAGCTATCCAGTTAGTCAAGGTCCATGTCGTCTTTCCCCATAGCTCCACAAACCTTTCCTTTCCAAGCCTGTGCTCAACTCCCTTTTGAACTTTGCTGTTGAATCTACTTCAACAAACCTTTCAGACAATGCATTCTACATCGGGGGAAAATGGCCACGTAAAAGATTCTCCCAATTTCTTCTTCCCAGTTTTTCGAGTAAACTAAACTAAGTTAAATCTACATTCCCTGGTTAATGACCACCTGCTAGTGGAAACAGTTTCTTCTTTATTTATTCTATCAATGCCCTTTGTAATTTTGAGCATTAAGTCTTTCCTTGGCATTCTCTGCTACAAGGAGGACAATTCATGCTTCTACAGTCTCTCCACATAACTGAAGTTCCTCATCCATACAGCCGTCCCAGTGAATCTCCTCTGCACACTCCTCAAAGCATTTATTGTGAGTCAAATCATTCACTGGAATCATTCAAGTCAGACTAGATTGCGGGGGAAGATAGACTCAGCTCATTCAAACAGCTTGATGGTTCTCACTCAAAGATTAAAGGGACAACTGGAAGCAAAAGTTTCACAAAGTGGACATTTGGAATAGAGGCCATTATAACATAATTCAATGATGGTGTGGATTGGTATTTAATATGAAGAGCATAAAATTATACAGGGAAAGCAAGGGTGAATGAGATCAGAATTGACCACTCCAGTACAAGAGCTGGCTTTGTTAATAGATTATAAACTAGCGAGATTGAAACCATGACACAAATATCTTTTCTATTTCAGGAGAGAGTTTATTAATTGCTACCCTACACACTGTGTCACACCTGTTCCCTACTTTTAGATATTTTCTCATCAACCTGATCATAGATGTTATTACACACATCTTGAGTAGGTAGGACTTAAACCCAGGTTTCCTGGCTCAAGGGCAGGGACACTACCACTGCATCATACGAGCCACTCTCTTTATTTTTGATTTGTTTTACTTTAACTTTTTTTCTGTTTTCTTATCCAAAAGTGCTATTACACACATCTGATTTTTCTTTCCCATCACTAAATCACCCCTGTTTTTTTTTCATCTATTAACAACTCCCTGCTTAATTAACAACCATCACTTGTTTCTCTTAACCTTAAATAAAAATCATAATATTATGATTAAATATTCAGTCTCATGCTTGACTGACCTCCTTTTGAAACAAGGAGGCATAGAAAGAACATAGAAAATATACAACGTTTAATTCGACAATTCTACACCAGCTGAGAAACAGCTATCGAGCCTTATTCCACCTCCCAGCTCTTAGTTGGTGACCCTGTAAATTATGGCATTTTAAGTGCCTGTCCAAGTACTGTTTTTAAATGTAGTGATGGTTTCTGCCTCTATCACCCTTTTAGGAATGAGTTCCAATCGCTTTAAATCTATGCGACTTGGAGTTTTCAGGACAGTTTTTGCAGCTACATGTTCTAATGACAACCAGAGACCTGATGATTATAGATCTGGTAATATGAAACAAGACAAGATTAATTAATGATCTCATGATTAAAGTGTCTTAGGTAACAGTGATCATAACATGACAGAATATCACATTCAGTCTCAAGACACAAAGCATGAGGCTAACTACCTCTAGTGTTCTAAAATCAAATAATTACGATTATGAGCATATGGAGACAGAGCTGGCCAAAATAAACTGGGAAATTAGATTTATGGTAGGGTAGTGGAGATGCAATGGCATACCTTTTCAGGAGATATTTCATAGTGCTCGACAAAGATGCATTCCAGTGAGAAGGAGAGACTCTAGGTAAAGAATGCACTATCCATGGTTAACTAAGAAAATTAAAGATAGTATCAAAGTGAAAGTAAAAGCAGACAATATTATAGCATAGTAACAGGTCAGAAGATTGTATAAGAGATTAAGAAAGCAGAAGAGAATTATTAAAAGAATAATAAGAAGCAGAAAAGTAGAGTACTTGAGAAGGTAGCTAGAACTATAAAAACAGAAAGTAAGAGTTTCTACAGTTATTTTAAAAAAAGAGTAAATAAGTGACAGCTGTGTCTGTACAGACAAAGTCTTGGGAATTGATAATATAAAATGAATTGAACAAATATTTTGCATCTGTCTTCAATGTAGAGGACAAATATCATTCTAGAAAGAGTTGTGAATCATCAGTTGAAAGAGGAATTTAAAACAATTGCAAATCACCAGGGAACAGCTACTGAGAGAATCATTAGAATTAAAACCTGTCAAATCTCCAGTTGCTAACAGAAATCAGCATTGAGTGTTAAAAGATGTGGCTGCTGAACTCATGGTTTTGCTAGGTTAAATTTCCAAAGCTTCCTACATTCTGGAAAGCTCCCATCACATTGGAAAATTGTGAATATGTCTCCACTATTCAAGAAAGTAGGGAGACAGGAACCTATCGGCCAGAGGCCTTAATAGCTGTCACAGGAAATATGATGGAATATATTTTAAGGCATTTATAGCACCTAGAAAATCTCAATGCAATCAGACAGTATCAGTATGGTTTTATGAAAGGGGAATGATTCATGTTTGGAGAAGTAACAATCAATGTGGACAAAGAGACTTGTGGATGTGGTGCAGTTTGATTTCCAAAAGGCATTAAACAAGGTGCCATATCAAAAGTTACTACACAAGATAGGAGCTAAAAGTGTAGAGGCATTGATAAGGATAGATATTTGGTTAGCTAAAATGAAACAGTGCAGATAAAAACAGGTCATTGTCAGGTTAACAAGATGCGCTGACTGGAGTGTTGCAATCCATATCAATGACTTAGATGAAGGGACTAAATGTGTGGTTGCTAAAATTGCAGACAACACAAAGATAAGTAGGAAAGTAAACTGTAAAGAGACATATGGAGTCTGCAGAGGGAATTCAATAGCTTAAATCATGATGTACAAAGTAGAAAAAGTGAACCTATCTACCTTGGCAGCACAAATTGAAAAGCAGCATCTCTTTTTAACAGAGAGAGATCGCAGAACTTTGCAGTACAGAGGGATCTGGGCTTTCTGATATTTGAATCACAAAATGTTACACTACAGTTACAGCAAATGAATGTTGTCATATACTGCAAGGAGAATGAAATATAAAAGGAGGGTGTTTTGCTATAGTTTTCTGGACAAATGGTGAGATCACATCTACAGTACTGTGTATAATTTTGGTCCCTTAGTTAAGAAAAGATATAATTGATTTAAGGAGAGTTAACAGAATGTTCGTTCAGCTGATTCCTGGGATGAGGGGACCATCTTATGAAAAAAAGACTGGACAATTTAGCTCTGTATCATTTGAACTTAAGAAGAATGATCTTCTCGAAACATATAAGATTGTGGGGGAGTTGACAGGGTGGATGCTGAGAGAACTTTTCCCCTATGGGAGAGACCGGAACTGGTCACACAGTTAAAAATAAGGGACTCCTATTTAAGGTAGAGACGAAAGGTCAAATCTTATCGGGGCCTGAATGAGGTGGGCTACAGCAAGGTTTGTGTCCACCGAGGCCTATCTCAATGAGGAGAGCATCTCACTGCATCGTTTATATGCCTGCCAAGCATTAAAGTGAGTTTCTTACCAGGCATCAGTGAGTTGCCTATAATGGGGGTTGTCAGCAACTTGATTAATGGCAAGCCCCACCTCATTAATATTCATCTTCCTATTTTACCAAATGTGCCAAACAAACTAGATGCTGAGAATTGTTGACATGGATGGTGGAGCCAGTTACTTGACAACTTTAGCTTGTCACTCGCTCCAGAAGAGCTCCATGTTGGATACTGGGTGCCATCAGAGCATGACACCCTCTGTGGGCACTGGCCACACTTCAATGCTGCACTCTGGGTCTGCACTGGGAGCAATCCTTGTTAAGCTGCTGCAAGGGCACATTACACTGTTGAGTGGTGTTGGAGCTCAGGGTGGGTGACAGCGAGTGAAGGAAGATGAAGCGGGCAGTAATGAGGGTGGTAGACCATGATCCATGGTAGGTACAGTAGTAGAGACAGACTGAGTCTGAGGTATTCCTCTACACAGCTTTGACTGCATTGATCCAGCCTTGGACCAGGTTGGCATGGTCTGGTGTCATGGTATAGCCTCCTGTATTGGTCCTCTGGGTAGGCTGTTATCAGACTTTTGAACCTCTCATATATTGAAGTTGACCCTTCTCTGCATCTTTTCTGTAGCTGTAACATTATGTTCTGCATTCTGATCTACTTATGTATGGTATGATTTGACTGGATAGCATGCAAAATAATACTTTTCACTGTATCTCAGTACATGTGACTGTAATAAATCAAATCAAATGAGAGGGCATCCTGCCTCTACACTATCTGATCCACTAGGACCCTTTTGCAAAATGGGGCACAAAATTACCTTTGACTGCCATGTCTGGGCAAGGTATTAGGAACCATGCTAAGCAGCTCCAGACTGATGGTACATAGCTGCACAACAAACTTTTAAAGATGATGCTGGCACCTTGGAATGCCAGTCCACTCTGGGATATACTGGCAGTGGTGTGTTGTTCTGGGAATGCCATGTGGTAAAATAAGGCTGGAATCAGAGG